TAGATACAGTTGTGATAAAAAATAAATAGCTGAAATAGGCAGATCTTCCTTTTACAATTTCACCTCTAAAGTAGTACTGAGTGTCACTGAATGCAATGAGTAATACTAAATGAGCAGTATGGTAATAATAATTAAATAACTGTACTGACTTATTTTGTTTAGGAGAATCCATGCTCAACATACAGGATTCTGAAGACTATCCACCTTCAAGATCACCCTCATTTTCTATAGTTTCAGAGTTATCTGCCAATGATAGTGTTTCAGTCACATCATGTATGTCACATGACCACAGTATATATCACCTGTAGCAAAAATAAAAAGAAATCATCATCCAGAAACAACCATAGATAAGTTTGTGGTAAGAACCAGCAGATTACAAGAAGAGGTAATTACTGAAAAAACTGCCCGGTTTGTTTATTCAACAAACTTTCCTTTCTGTATGATTGAGAACCCACATTTCATTAGCACGGTTCAGTCATTAAGACCATGGACAAGATGTACAGTCCATCCAACAGAGCAGATGTCGCAGGCAAACTGCTGGATAAAGTCTATGAAAGAAAAATTGAGCAGTGTGCAAAAGGTCTAGAGGTTAAAATTGTTAACCTGAGTCTTGATGGGTGGAGCAATGTCCACAATGATCCTGTTGTATGTGCTTGTGTGATAAAAGGGAATGTCTTCCTTACAGAAACAATTGATACATCAGGAAAAGCACACACAGCAGAATACTTACAAGTAGCAGTAAAAGCTATAACAAACTGAAAAAAATTCAAATGTCTAGTATGCAGCTTGGTCACAGCCAATGCTGCAAATGTATCCAAGATGAGAGGAAATTATTTAGAAGAGCTTCCATACATTTAGCTGAAAACTAAGGACAGAAATTACACATGATCTGACCACATAAAATGTAATCCAGTTCAAAAGTTACATTCTGAACCAGTACTATCTGCAAGAGTATGGACGCAGGTAATGTATCTGGCATGCTTATTTGCCTGTTGAAAACCAGAATACCTAGAGGTATTTTAGAGGTGTGCTTATATCCAAGACATGGAAAGGAACCAAGATTTAGGGTTTTCTTAAAGTACACATAGTTCTTTATGCGATGCAAGGGTTTATTCTGGCATTTTAAAATGCTAAAGTTGGTAAGAGAGACTAGATATTATTCTGAAGTCATATCTGCTTGCTTTTATGAAGAGATTAATTTCTTTAAAATATTGTCATCACTATAGAAACAGTACAATCGGGGAATGTGAGCTGATTCTACTCTGGCTCACACAACAGCACTGTTAACTAAGGTCCAAAGGCAGACCTTTAACAATGATGTGGAAGCAAGAAAGCCAGACTTTCAGATCCCAAGTTGAGTTTGCAATAATGAGACGCACAACTTGCAAATTGAGTCTGATATCAGTCACAGAGGAAATGTGGAACACTCCACTGTCAACTTTGTAGTCTTCCAGAGTGTAATTGCAGTTTAAATCAGTTTAAAGTGGGGACAAGGGGACATTTAGAAAAAAAAAATGTACAATGGAGTTGTCCTAATGTTAGAACAACATCTTCAATTCCTAAAGTTCACAGCTGCTTTAATGGTTTTGATTAATCTGCAGGTCTAGAAAGAGCAAGACTCATGAAACAATACGAGGATCCCCTCAATAAGATATGAATATATCTTTGTGCTTAGTAACTCTGATATTGTCCTTCAAAGATAACCTGTAAATAAAAAATTGGAATTGTGCCATTTTTGCTCCTCTATAATGGAGATGTTCAGATATCATGGCCATGAATGTGGTATATATACACACTCCACAGAACACTTGAAAGGGTTCCTCCCCTGCCCAGCCTGACACAAAAAAGTTTGTTCTTGAAGTTAATAATATGGAAATTGGGCTTCAGTTTTTGTTGCAGGTTTCCTAGGAGGACCAGAATACACTCACAGGAGGTCTCTGGCAGCTGTTATGCAGAGTTTGGCAGGTGCCTGAATTAACAGGGTATTAAAGTTTTTGACTATAACTAAAAATCATTACCTTTCTTAATTACTCAATGTGGGATGTGAACGTTGGGCAAAGAACTAACGCTTAAAACCAATCAATCAATCTTCAGACAGCAGTTATTAATTATGACCAAGTTAGAGACATTCAACACAGGTTTGAGCATGCCAGGTATAAACCAGTTGTAAGTACCTGATCCATGCTAAATGGGTATGGTTATTGCTGAGACACTTAAGGCATGTTCAGAGCAGCTGTATAAATGCTACTTGGCCTTTAGATTTAATAAAGGAATTTCTGGTTGAATTAGTGTGAATTATTCCCTTTATTATTATTATTATTATTAATGGTAATAATAATTGCAACCCCATAATTTAAGCATGAACAAATAAATAAAAACAACATGTTCAGTCAGAGAAACAAGGTAATAACCCCACTTCTTTCCCCCCCACATTTCAGGTTAATTTAAATTATATCATATTCTAAGTCAGAGTTATTGGTAAATACAGTGGTCTCTTGAAACATCTTGAGAAACCAAGTGTATCACCAATTTGTTTAATGTCCATTATTTTAGGAGAAGAGGCCTGCTAAGGACAGAGAATTAACCGGGTATGTTATATGGAAACACAGTGCAAGCCTTGTCTTCATCAGAGTATTTAGTTTCTTGTATTATATATTCAATTTTTTTTATTAAATAATTTGTTGTTTTATTATAGTAAATGATGTGCTCTGACAACAGTTGTATTGACACGAGTTTGGTTTTTGTATTTTAAAATAGTTGTTACTTTTCCTGAGCATACACAAAGTTGTATGGAATGAGAAAGGTCAAAGTAAGACGGTCACAACCACAAGGGTAGCCTAAAATTCCTTGTTACCTGTAAGGGGTTAAGAAGCTCAAATAACCTGGTTGGCACCTGAACAAAGAAACCAATGGGGACAAAAGATACTTTCAAATGGGGGCGGGGGGAGTTTAAGATCAGTTAAACTTATTTCTTTGCTTAATCTCCCCCACAGTCTGGCTGGGGGAAACTGGTGTGCAAAATTTTCTGCTCAATTCGACTTTTGTTTTAAGCTTTGCAATTCACCTTCAACTTTATTTGAACAGAATGTAATGTATAGTTACCTACAGAAAAGCGACATGAACACCAATTAATTTGCTCAGATCTGACCAAAAGTAGCTTACCACACACTGACTTTATAAGAATTGAACATTATATATAATAAATGTCTGGTGATACCTAGATCAGAACTAAAATGACAGTGTCTCTTTTCTCCTCAACTTTGAGGATGACACAGGAAGAGAAACTAGCAAACTACCCAATCTGAAAGGCTCCTAAATTCTAGTCATCTAAGAGTCTCCAGGGACTTAATCTTCTACTGCAGCTCCTCCCCTTACACTGGCCTTTTCCAGGAGAGTGTACGCAATTCTCAGGACTAGTAGTGAAGATCCTAGAGCGCTAACTCCTAAGCCCTCATATGGAAGGATGATAGTTCTTTCACTTTACCCACTCCTCTTCCCGCAGTCAAGGGAAATCTTGTCTACCATGGTGCTATTCCAGCCTTTCAAGAGAATTTCACATGTAATCTCCTACAGCCCATGCGGCTGCTGGACAAAACGCTCTCCAGAACGCCATTTCTGTCCCAGAATACAAAATGGCAGGAAATCACTGATTAGCAGAACAAAACTTGCAAAGGAGTTGGGAAATGTTGCCACAGCAAACCCCACTGGCCTGGAATCAAAGGATTGGGAGAGTATTGAAGAAAGAACTCCTGTATTACTGATATTATGGTATTGCCAGAGGCCCCAATTTGCTAGGCATTGTACCAAATAAAAGAGAGTCCCTGCTGTGAAGAGTTTACAATCTAAAAAAGACAAACGAAGTGGTGAATGGGACAATACAAGCAAGGTCAAGGTGTAAGCACATCTTATTAGTTCCATCTTTTCCCACATCCATTCCTGAAGAGGACCAACACATAAAGGGTTAATAGAGAAGGTATTTGGTCAAAATATGTTCAACTCCAGATATGTTTTCAAAAAATAATTTACACTCAACACCTTGCTTGATCTATCCATTATTAGTTGAGAGCTCTCTTTAGGTATTGCAGAAGAAGTGATGCAAAGTGGACCTCTTACCACCTCTACTACTGACTGCACAAAAAGGAATTCTGGTTTGGGACTAGTTACATACACTCAAAAGTGTTCTGGATACACCTTAAATTGACGACATAAAAAGGCACAATACAGGAAAGAGATATTCAGAAACTATTATCTACCAATAGAAAAGTATTTTTAATCAAGTCAGTATATTTCCTAAGAGCACTTTCTACACAACCAAATGCAATTTAACGCAAAAGATTTCGGAATGGTAATGCACATGTGGTGTTTAATTGTACCTGATAAAAGGAGAAATTTAAGAGTCTCAGATAAGTATATACCAGTGAAAACACTGCTGGAAGTTCATAAAGATAAAAAAAATAAAAATAGGTAAACTTAAGTTATTACCATAGCATCTGAGCACACCAAAGATTGGGGCGCTATTGTGCTAGAAACAGCACAAATAAAGAGACAAAAAACTTCAGGATGGGGATTGTCTTACTCCAGGTCTGGACAGAATGAAGTTTTCAACAGTGCCTAAGTGCTGACTTAAGTGATTTGGGTGACATCAAGGTCAGAGGGAGAACAGAATGCAGTAGTCCTAAGTGTGAGATGAGAGTCTAAACAGCCTTAACAGACAGAAAAGGCCAAATCTTTGAAATGTACGGATGTACCTATGGTAAAATCAGGTACTGGCTAAAAGATACTCAAGAAAGGTTAATGTTTTTAGTTTTTGCTTTTTTTTTGCTCCATTATTTTTGAAGTAGGCTTCTAAAAGCTCTATTTGCCCTTTTAAATTATATTCAAGAACATTTTTAAATCACATGTACCTTTGTAAGTATTTTAATGACTGCAGATTCAGATGTATAACTCTCCATAAGCACATACAGATATCAATTTTGAAAAAAAATCATCAGAAGCCATACCTTGTGTTGTTCTATCGCATCTATCCATTGTTGTCTATGATCAGGATCCTGAGCTCGTAGGTACCAAACACTATCGTTTACGCTAATGTCAAATCTGCATTCATCAAAATCATGAGGCTGTGGAGGGAAACAAAAAGGGGAATATGAGAAGCACAGCCAGAATTAAGCATAATAAAGATTAGCTATATCAAGCAGAATGCTGATAGTCTAGCTATAAGGTGTTGTAGACCACACTATTTGCTTTTTTAACCATAGAGTTAATTAAATTCCTTTTATAGTATTAGCTCCATTTTGTATGGTGGGTCTAAATAAGAATTTAGGTAAATTTTACGTTTAAAAAAATGTTAAACCAATAAATTACACCTTACACCAACCCAGAAAACAGCCAGCAGAAGTTTACAGCATGACATATTGCATATAGTAAGAGTTGATGAAACATTATAGCAACTGCCACAAGATCCATTTAAAAACACTGAAGTATTCTTGGGATTCTACCCAAACATAGACCAAACACTCCTTCCCCCATCCAAATAAAAAACAAAAACCAAACCAATCTTATAGCAGACTAAAAAAGCGAAACTAATAAATACCCCCAGCTGAGTTTTAACTTCAGAAAAAAGAGGAGAGGCAGACACTCCATAAAGTCCACTGTGGCTACTACTACTGATTTTAGATACTGTAGTAATGGACAGCAATATAAAACCATAAGCTAGATTACCTACTAAACATTTGTGTTCATGTAGAACGATACAAATGCAATGCTAGTTGACAGACAAAAGTATGGTCTGACAGATCACAAAGAACCTTCAAAATCCCCAGATAATCACATTTAATCAAAAGGCTAACAGAAAATTTAAAAGAATACACAATAAATGAGACATTACAGTATACAGATACTGTGAACACCAGTAACAATAAGTTGACAAAAAGTTAATTAAAAACATGCCTTTAAATGTTACATAGAAAAACCACAATCAACATTAAAAGTTGATTGCTATGGGGTAACGGGTATCTTAGTACAGGGGTGGGCAAACTTTTTGGTCGGAGGACCACATCCAGGTATGGAAATTGTATGGCGGGCCATGAATGCTCATGAAATTGGTGGTTGGGCTGCGGGAGGGGGTGAGGGCACTGGCTGGGAGTGCAGGTTCGGGAGTGGGGCTGAGGGTTTGGGGTACAGGAAGGTGCTCTGGGCTGGGACCAAGGGGTTCAGAGGGCAGGAGGGGGATCAGGGCTGCGGCAGGGGGTTGAGGCGTGGGTGGGGGGAGAGGGTGGGGGTGCAGGCTCCAGGCAGCGCTTACCTCAAGCAGCTCCCAGAAGCAGTGGCATGCTCCCTCTCTGGCTCCTACATGGAGGCATGGCCAGGCACTTCTGCACTCTGCCCCGTCTGCAGGCACCGCCCCTGCAGCTCCCATTAGCCATGGTTCCCAGCCAATGGGAGCTGTGGGGGTGGTGCTTGGGGCGAGGGCAGTGTGTGGAGTCCTTTGGCAGTCCTCACATGTAGGAGCCAGAGCGCAGGGGCGGGGGTGTGTGTGTGTAGGAGCCAGAGCGCAGGGGCAGGTGTGTGTGTGTGTGTGTGTGTGTGTGTGTGTAGGAGCCAGAGCGCAGGGGCGGGTGTGTGTGTGTGTGTGTGTGTAGGAGCCAGAGCGCAGGGGTGGGTGTGTGTGTGAACCCCACTCCCCAACTGGAGCGCCGAAGCAGGGCAAGCCGCGGACCCTGCTTCCCAGCGGGACCTTGAGGGACGGATTAAAATGCCCGAAGGTCCAGATGCAGCCCTCAGGCCATACTTTGCCCACCTCTGTCTTAGTACAAGGACTAGCTCACAATCTCAAATATGGAACCCAAATATTTAACTACAGTCTCTGAAATTACATACGTTCGACTTTCACATATGAAATGGAAACTGGCCACGCACACTGGGTGACTATCTTGTTTACAAGCGCACAGAGACTTTGCATGCAGTTTGCCTACACAATTTCAGAGGCTGATTTGAAATGTGGCCTGTCGTGTTCTGTCTTCAAATACTTAAACATTACTATGCATTCATGAAGCATGGTAGAAAATACTTTGGGACAGTGGTTCTCAATCAGGGTTACGGAGCTCCCTGGGGGGGCTGTGAGGAGTTTTCTGGCAGTCTACCAAGCAGGGCCAGCATTACACTTGCTGGGGCCCAAGGCAGAAAGCTGAAGCCTCATGTATGGATAGAAGCCCAGGGCCCTGAGCCCTGCCACCTGGGGCTGAAGCCAAAGCCTGAGCAATGTAGCTTTGCAGGGCCCCTTGGGGCATGGGGCCACAGGCAGTTGCCCTGCTTGCAACCCCATAACACCAGCCCTGGCTTTTATATGCAGAATACCATTTATTGTGGCACGGGTGGGCTATGGAGTTTTTTTAATAGCATATTGGGGGCCTCAGAAAGAAAAAGGTTGTAAACTCCTGCTTTGGAGCTATGCCACATGAACCATTTTAGAATAATACATAAAAATCTCAATATTACATCATTTCTCTCATTTAACAGAGACTTCATAGTTAAGGTTGACATCTAAGTAATTTATTTTAACCTCCCATCTCCCAAATGTAACTTACTATGTAGACTGTATTGAAATAAAGAAATGGGTGATCATTTTAGGTTAAAGTGCTGATTTTTTAACCACAGCATTTCAGAAATCAGGAATACTTAGAAATAACAATATTAAAAAATAATAGTTTAAAAATTTCTTAAGTGCCTCACTTTCAGTCCATTTCTACCTTTCCAACAGAATATTAGAAATCACCAATTCACATGTGCAGAGATCTGCAATCACTCATGGGTAGGATAGCTCCGATTAAAACGGATTTTAAAATAAAACATTAACAGTATGTTTATAGCTAGTTCAGCAGGGAATTAGTGATTAGGTACTTGGCTGCCTCTGTCTGACAGCACCATGGATAGATATAACAAGCTCTAAGGAGGCAACAGCAGCAAGAGACAGAAGAAGGAGCTGAACAAAGAAGGAATGCAGTTAGACTGTGGAGGGAGACAGGAAAAAAGAGGCTTAGTTGGTAAATTACTTGCCCCTCTCCACAAACATTAGGCTGCCTCAAAAAGAAACTGCCAATACTGTTCCCCTAGCTAGCCAACTCAGATTCCTGCCTCACTCTGAAAAGCAATACAGGATCAAGTAAGTACAGGCTATCATAACACATACGCACAAGGGAACTGAATTAAGATTACACAGGCAACCTTAATTCTGACATTTCCTAACTGGAGTGCTTTGCTTCACAAAGTTCAACATTATTTTAACAGTTTTTTTGTAGGCAATATTTATATACTAAAAAACACAGCAGTTAATCTAGTGAATTGGGCATAGGGCTGGGAATCAGGAACTCCTGATCTCAATCCCTGGCTGTGCCAACTATTAACTGTATAGCTTTGGGAAAATGAAAGCTTTTATATTCCTTATTCAAAATGAGAAAAATTGCTTACCTCACAAGGCTGTTGTAAAGACAAAGCGCTTTGAAAATATAAATACTGTCATAATATTATATTTATATAAAAGCACAGGGCCATGAAATTTCATTAATGCCAAGTCAGGAGATAGCCACAACCCTCCAGAATAGCAATATATTCAAGGCTGATAAAAATGCATTCTTTTTCAGATGCCAGAGCGTGTGATCCAGTAACACCTCCCTGTTCAGGTGCAGAAATAGGAAGAGGAGGTAAATGACAGTCTGTACCTCATCCAGTGGTTAGAGATTGAAACAGGAGGGTGAATTCTCACAATAGCCAAGGAAGTGGGATTTATTAGAACACTAAGGGTATGTCTACACTACGAAATTAGGTCGAATTTATAGAAGTCGGTTTTGTAGAAAGCGTTTTTATACAGTTGATTGTGTGTCCCCCCACACAAATGCTCTAAGTGCATGTAGTTGGCGGAGTGTGTCCACAGTACCGAGACAACAGTCGACTTCCGGAGCATGGCACTGTGGGTGGCTATCCCACAGTTCCCGCAGTCTCTGCGGCCCATTTGAATTCTGGGTAGAAATCCCAGTGCCTGATGGGGCTAAAACATTGTCACGGGTGGTTCTGGGTACATATCGTCAGGCCCCCGTTCCCTCCCTCTCTCCGTGAAGGCAAGGGCAGACAATCGTTTTGCGTCTTTTTTCTTGAGCTACCTGGGCAGACGCCATACCACAGCAAGCATGGAGCTCACTCAGCTAACCGTCACCGTATGTCTCCTGGGTGCTGGCAGACATGGTACTGCATTGCTACACAGCAGCAGTTAATTGCCTTTTGGCAGCAGACAGTGCAGTATGACTGGTAGCAGTCATCAACGTAGTCCTGGGTGCTCTTTAAATCAGATGTCTGGGCAAACATGGGAGTGACTCAGCCAGGTCATTTCCCTTGTTTTGTCTTGTGGCGATTCAGTCCTACCGGCAGTGCACTGTCTTTTAACCTCCAGCCAGCAGAAGATGATGGCTAGACGTCATACTGCACCGTCTTCTGCCGAGCACACAGGAGATGATGATGGCTAGCGGTCGTACTGCACAGTCTGCTGCTAGCAAGATGTATAAAGACAGATGAAGTGGCTCAAAACAAGAAATAGACCAGATTTGTTTTGTATTCATTTTCTCCTCCCTCCCTCTGTGAAATAAACGGCCTGTTAAACCCAGTTTTGAGTTCTACCCTTGAGGTTTTGAGTTCTGTCCCTGAGGGGGCCATTCAGTTTCTCGCAAAGCCACCCCCTTCGTTGATTTTAATTCCCTGTAAGCCATGTCGTCAGTCACCCCTCCCTCTGTCAGAGCAACGGCAGACAATCGTTCCGCGCCTTTTTTCTGTGCGGACGCCATACCAAGGCAAGCATGGAGCCCGCTCAGATCACTTTGGCAATCAGGAGCACATTAAACACCACACGCATTATCCAGCAGTATATGCGGCACCAGAACCTGGCAAAGCGATACTGGGTGAGTAGGTGACGACCTCATCACTCTCATCACCATGCTGACATGGACAGAGACTTCTCTCAAGCACGGGCCCTGCCAACGTGGGCATCATGGTACTAATGGGGCAGGTTCATACCGTGGAATGCCGATTCTTGGCCCGGGAAACAGGCACAGACTGATGGGACCGCATAGTGTTG